TCCTGTGTCTAGGTATACTTTGAGTGAAATTGTTCCTATTTGATTAATGTTTGGCTTGAATTGATGATTCAATCACAAAAGTGAGTTCGACGATTTTCCCTTGGAAAATCCCTTGTTTACAGAACTCGATTCGACTTCTACGGCAATTCTGTGTTGAATGCAGTACTTTGGGATATCTTGCATAATTCCCTACTGCATTGTACACAACATCGATATTCCACTTGTACAGGATCTTTTCCTGTTTGTGTGGATATAGATTGTCCGACAGACTTGCGTCCGGCATACTTGCGTCGAATCCCGACATCTTGCACGATCAAATTCCGATCGCACGTGTCGAAAACCTCGTACTTGAATAGTTTCATTTTGGAACGTAAAAACTCATATTTCGTCATATCCCAACACCTCAGAGATCACATTACGGTTCCTCCAGTGTTGTCGCAGGCGGGGGAGTGTCACGCACTCCTGAATGAAGTGGTCACTCAGCCGAGACTACTTTGTGTCAGCCACAAAAAGAGCTGCCAGTTCCGTGAAGAACCGAGGATTGGGGGGGATAAGTTGGTGGGCGGCCTCTAGTTCCTTGCGGAAATCCACTGCCATGCCATCTACCTCCAGGTTTATCTTTTCCCACCAAGTGAGTTCATCAAATAAGTTGGACTTGTCCAGATGTCCGTAGACATGCCGTGGAGACCAAGACACCGGAGACCAAGAGATAGCTTCCCGGATGGAAGAGATCAGGTCAAATTGTGCATCAGTGGGTGAAAGGGGTCGGTCTTCAAAGGCCATTTCAATGGCCGAAAGGCTGTTGCAGGCGATCTTGACACCCGGCCGCTGGCTAAGGGCTGGGAACCATTGTTGGAGGAGCCAGTCAACCGCCATAATCCCAGCAAGAAGGCCAATCAACTCGCTACGATAGGCACTCTGATCCTGAGGTAGGTCTGGTGTTTGACAACGGATGACAATGCGAGCAGTTACCCCTTTGGGCAGGAGCTGAACAGCAGCAGTTCCCAGGTCATTTTTGTATGACCCGTCGCTGATGATTCTGAGGCGGCCCTGGATCAGGGCATCGGCCAAGGCAGCCTCATCACCATGTACCTCAATCTCATCAGGGGCCCACCCATAGTAGTCTATGCAGAGGTCGGCAGAGGTTTGCCAGGCGTTGAGGATGGAGGGGGTCAGGGCAGAGGGAAGCAAGGTTGCGAGACCTGTACCAGTGAGAAGCACCCAGTCGCTACCGGAGAGGGGCCTCACTGTGGCACGCAGGACGTCAGAAGGCAAAGGGCAAGTCCACGAAGAACTTGGTCGTTGTAGGCTATCCGTCCCACTGTGACTGCCAGATGGCGCATAGCGCCGAGAAGTTGTAGAGGAACCTACAAGAGCAAGATGGGTCCATGCAGCCCCCTCCCGATGAAACAACCCAACAGTCGGCGACCAGAGCCAGTTCCAAGACTCGAAGTGGTCGTGCCAATGTCCCAGGGGT